TTAATATCGGATATCGGTATCGGCCAAATTTTCATATCGGTGCATCCCTAATCCTTTTGTCTATAAAATGACAAAAAAAGACAAATACCCATCACAGTTTTCCAGTGACTGAGGCGACACCTTCACATTGCACCTTGTCTAACTAACAGTCCAAAACCTATTTATGGTAAAATAAAATGGATAGAAGCAGAAAATTCTCTGATTTAAGGCTTGTACCAGAGAATCTTTGGCATTTTCTGTTTGGAAAGTGACTCAAATGATTGATTATCAAAATAGCTGCAGATTAATTTTCTGTCTCTCAATAATATTTTCAGCATCATTAATAAGTAAGGAAATTGTAATATGTATGTGATTAGATGATCCTGGTGATGCACTAGAGAGTGACCAGAAAAACAGTACATTTGTACACTGTAATGCAATCCAGTGCATTCCTGTAATACTACTTTGCTTGTGAAACAAACAGCCAGTAAGTCTTGGCTAACAATAACCCTTGTAACATAATGTATGCTACATTGCTTATTTGGCCTCAGCACAGTTATTCCTCTTTGTGTGCCGAGCTGTATGGCTGGTTAATGGAAAGCCAGACGAGACAGGCACATGATTACACCCTCAGGGAAGACTGATTTATTCATGTCCTTTATCAGCAGAGCTCACATCGACAGAACTACTCATAATACAATCCCTGCACATGCAAAGAATTAGAGCAATATAATATAAAATAGTATAACAGAATATAAGATATTGTAATCTATATAATAACATGCAATATGATGATTCACTGTCATTTCGGTGAGCTAGATATTTTCAGCAATACAGAAATATTGCTTCCTGCTAATAAACACTGGCTCAGTTAGTGCCTAACAGATTCACTTGTATTTTTTCTCCTCTGTCAATGCGCTGTCTCAGGTCTGGCACTCTGGATCTGGACTCCTGCTCAAAGGAGGGAAATATTCTGAGCTGCACTCGGTCAGATTCTGGCAAGGTTAACTTCTTTATCCAGACGGTTCGACCGAAGGACACAGTGATGTGTTACAGAGTTCGTTGGGAGGAGGTGCAGAATAAGTATATGGTCGAGCACGCCATGGCATATAATGACTCTCATTGGTACGGAGGGGCGGAGACAGCAACACAGTACTGGCCTGTCAAGATCCAGGGCGAGGAGAAGCCACAGCCCTTCATCACCAGTGATATCTACTCTAATCGAAACGCTTTTGGGGGAATCCTAGAACGCTATTGGCTGTCTTCGAATGCAACTGCCATCAAGATTAATGACTCAGTACCGTTTCATTTGGGCTGGTCAGAGAAGGACAGGACACTTAGGTTTCAGGCCCGATACCAGGACTCTCCCTTCAGACCACCAGAGGGTCAGCCGGCTTTACCTGAGCTCAGCTATAGAGTGTGCGTGGGGTCGGATGTTACCTCTATTCATAAATACATGGTGAGTATAGTCACACTGTGTATTTTGTTTTGATGGTAAGAGCACAATCACCCAATTGCAGTGTAGTTTTCTTTCTAGTTTTAAAGAACATGCCAGTATGTGTACGACTATTTTAAAAGTAGTAAATTCAAAGTCTGCAGCATTTGGGAATTGTTGCATTTACACTTGGATACGCCCACAATGATGGCACCAGGAACACTTCTCTTCCATGCACTTACTTACAGAGTGTGGCCAAATTCTGAACCAGCTTTCCTGTTTGGAACGTGTAATATATCATAACAAAATTCACAAAGAGCAAAATTGGAGTGAAGATGACAGGAGATATCAGAGCCAAGTTGCCGCTTTGGATGGAGTGGATCATTTATCTATCAAAACCATCAAACTGTCTCGTCGAGCTTCTCCATTGTAGGGATTTGCTTTGTATTACTATAATGTCAGTATTTGGGGGTTTTGAACTGTTGATCTGACGAAGAGTGACTTCCGTCAGAGCCAGACTAGCTTCCCCGTTTCCACTCATTATGCTAAGCTAAGCTAACTGGCTACTGGCTGTAGTCTCAGATTTAAAGGAAACATGCCCGAGAGTGGTTTCAATCTTCTAATCTAAATCTTGTCTAGAAAGCGAATAAGCAAATTTTCCTGAATGAATGAAATACAAAAGTCGAACAATCAAAAACTGTTGCTGTGAATACCTCTGTAGTAACACTCTTCTCTGCATGCATGTGTTTTGCTCAGGTCCGTCGGTATTTCCCAAAGCCTGTCAAGGTCCCATCTCCTGAAGTGTTTAAACAACCACTGTGGTCCACATGGGCTCTCCACAAGACGGCTGTAACTCAGGAAAAGCTGCTGCGCTACGCCTCTGACATCACCAAGCATGGCTTCACATGCTCCCATCTGGAGCTGGACGACCGCTACACTGCAGACTATGGAGAGTTTGACTTTGACCCGCAGAAGTTCCCCAATGCCAGCGGTATGTTTGACAGACTCAGAGAGGAGGGCTTTCAAGTCTCACTCTGGACACATCCTTTTATCAACTATGACTCCATTAATTTTGGTGTCGCTGTGGAGAAAGGATTGTTTGTCCGGGAGCCGAGCGGTGAGCTGCCTGCTCTCGTTCGCTGGTGGAACGGCATTGGAGGTATCTTGGACTTTACCAACCCAGAAGCCCGTGAGTGGTATTCTTCACATCTGCATATGCTCAAACAGCGCTATGACGTGACGTCCTTCAAGTTTGATGCAGGAGAGACAAGCTACCTCCCACGCCAGTTTAGCACCCTGGTCCCACTGTCCGACCCCTCCACCTTCACCCGCCGCTACACAGAGATGGCCATACCGTTCAGTGAGCGCGCAGAGCTGAGGGTGGGCTACCAGAGTCAGAACATCTCCTGCTTCTTTAGGATCATCGACAGAGACTCTGTGTGGGGTTACGAGCTCGGCCTGAAGTCCATCATCCCGACTGTCCTGACCATTAGCATTCTGGGCTACCAGTTTGTCTTACCTGATATGATAGGAGGGAATGCATACCCTAACCGCACCGCAGGTATGGCACTCCATGACATATGGCTACAGGGAGTTTTAGAGTTGAAAGTGAGCTCTGTTAAAGATGCACATTAATATTTGATATGGTTTTAGTCTCTGGTCTGACCTTGTGTTTTGGTTGTGGTTTAGAGGGTAAAAACGGTCTGCCGGACAGAGAGCTGTACATCCGATGGTTGGAGCTGTCTGCTTTCATGCCTGCCATGCAGTTCTCCATACCCCCATGGGCCTATGACAATGAGGTGAGCAAAGTGAAACAGTGGATGTGTTGTATTAGTTGGAAAGAAATCTAGGTTATTTCCTGTGCTTGAATTTAATAATTACAGGGGACAAATTAAAACCAGTATGAGTCGATAATTGTATCTTCTATCAGAGTGAAAAATATATATGCACATCGGTCTTGTCCAGTCCAAAACTGTACAGTGAGTTCTGCTACTCAAAGACTCGCTGTGGAATACTCTCTTTTAAAAAGTGTTTATTTTATCACGTTGAGAAATATAGGCTTCGTTATGTACAGAGGTATTAAACCAAGCCAACCTTCCGAGACCTTCTAATATGTCCTTTCCTTTAATGTTTGTTGATGCCGGAAATAAAATAGAAACTGTCTGTGTGATGCTACCACTGTATCTTTGTGCTTTCGTCCACAGGTGGTACAGATAGCGCAGAAGTTCACAGAGCTCCACGAGAATCTGGTGGCCCCTAGGGTTCTCGAACTGGCAGGTGAGGTTCTTGATACAGGGGACCCAATCATAAGGCCCCTCTGGTGGATCGCCAATGACGACGAGGCAGCCTATAAGATTGACTCTCAGTTCCTGATCGGGGATGACCTGATGGTGGCTCCGGTGTTAGAGCCAGGAAAGCAGGAGAGGGACATCTACCTGCCTGCGGGACGGTGGAAAAGCTACAAGGGGGAAGATTTTGTTAAAGGCCCCATGTACCTCACCGACTACCCTGTGGACCTGGACGAGATAGCCTACTTTACATGGGTTCATTGAAAACACTGAAAAATTAAACAAAAACTCTCACACACACACACACACATACTATTTGCACATGTACATTCTTGTGAGCACACAAATAGCAGCTGATGTTTGTTTTTTTTTTAAAGGGAAATGACCACTAGGGATCTGCTGCCACAGCAGAATGTGATTGTGCTAATGATTAACCTCATGTTTCCTCTGACCTGCTCTTTATCTGGACATCTGCCTACAGATTATAACCGTCCATCCAGAAAACTAGAATGAAACTTGTGTTCACTTCTGATTGTATTGTTCCATCCTTAAGCTGATCCTCATCCTCATGTGCCTTCCACAGTCAATAAGTAAAACCGAACTCAGATTGTCTCATCACTGCAGTCTTCCACCTAATGGGCATCTAGATTTCTAGTCCCACAGCTCGAATGGTTTCGGTTTTAGGGTGAGAATTATCCTTATTTCTTTCAGTGTGAATTTTATTCAAGGTTATAAACTGAATAACTGCACGATAAGGTAACAGATGTGTTTTTATTGCGGTTTGACAGGGTTTGGCGCTAGGAAAAAAAAGCTATTTGAGGTGGACAGATGCACTCACATGCCTCACCTTATGTCAACATAACCTCTGTATCGTGGAAGATTACAGTCACAATCACAATTTTTAAGCTGACAACCACATGTTTAACTCATTATTCACTTTTCACTTCCTCTTTATATTTATTAACTCTTTCCTTCCATTTGTGGACAATATTTGATGGTATATACCAGGGGACGGGCAACTGTTTTGATATAAAATGCCATTGCAGTTAAAGTGCATTAAAAGTTAAAAGGTTCTTGGACCGGTAAGACATCCAGCATCTCCTTTACAGAGAACATCAAATCTTTTCTGTATTTTATTTGTGTCTGAAGTGGTGACTCTGAGGTTTGTTGACCTTCAGTGTTTTGCACTTTGTGGTGCTTGTGTGAAAAGCAGAAAGTCCAAAGAAGTAAACAATTCAATGATTACATTGTAGTTTTATTGAGCAATTCTTGATGTAGTAGTCATTCACAGCTTTTACATAATGAAAATGTGTTTGCTCTTAATATATATTATATTAAGGGCCTCAGAGAAAGACTGTGGTGATGGCTGACGATACCAGCAGGAGGAAGACACTGGAAGCAGTGGGTATGGCACTGTTACACAAGTCCCCTTTGCAGCATTTTATGGGGCTTATACACGTGGCACTGTTTTCACAGCCCTTGATGATGATACCTAAAAGATATGATCAGATATACATGGGTCATTTAGTGCAGCAATAAATCAACTCAGACTTCATAGATATTGCTCAATATTAGCTACAAATACTTCTGACATGGAGAACAAAATTACCCTTGTCATTGAGGGTGCCAACAAAGTGGTCTAAGTGGGGGGCACAAGTGAAGATTGTTGTGGCAGGTGTATTATTACACGCGTAGCATCTCAATCCACATGCTACACAGAAAATACAGAATACTGTCACACAGTGTTTAATTGAAATCTAATTGTATTATACATTTTCACAAAAAACACCATCAGTTTAAAGAGATTTTTTATGTTCCCATTTTGGATTTTGCCACCTCAGAAAATGTTCTAGAAGGAAAAAGTGAAGAGAAACTTGAGAGATCATCATTTTATTATGAAATAAATAACTTTAAATGAATTAATTAACCTATTTAATAATGAATCAATAAGCTATTCTTACCTGTAGACAGAGTCACCAACAGGACCAGAACTCCATAAAACTTCATCGTTAACGGAGAGAACAACAATCAACCCTGAGAGATGAGAATTACTCTAGAGAGAAGATGTGAACTCTCTTAAAGCCTGTCTTTTATAGTCCAACTTCTCAGTCTTCATTTCCTCACAATGCCTCCTCCCATTTGAACTAAAGCCAGCTCATTATTCTTAAAACAGCCATGTAGACTACATACAGTCATACTGTATAAGTCGTACAAGAAATAAAAGAAAGGAAAAACATCTTTAGTAGCAGATAAAATCTGTCCATTGAGTTATACAACATCTGACATTTCCCATTTATTTTTTGAACCTAAGGACAAACATATTGATGTAAAAATATTTTGGCACGTTTATTTTCTTACAGTAGTTCATCTAGATTCACAAAGTTATTATTGGAAGATTTTGAAGCTCAAGATGGCAGAATTTTATTGTTACTTCAAAAAAAAACAAACGAACACACACACAAAAACGGAGATCGTTCAAATGAGAGGAACACAAGAACATCACTAAGAGTCTGTTGCTCTTTCAATGTAATCAAAGCTAGAAGCCTGAATCCTTTGTATGTCCTGGTCAGTACCGCTTATCCTCAGCATCAACAGCTAATTGTATAATATTCATTTGTGATTGTTAATATTTCATGTCATGTTTTATCATTCCTTTTTCTAGTGAGGGCCTCATAACAGACACTTATTTGCTGTGAATATTGATGTAAAATGCATAACATATGAAGAATGAATAAAGTCAGTCATTAGTCATTTACAGCTTTAGGCTGCATATGGAAAAATGTGTTGTTCTTCTTGAGTTGTACGAATTAAAAAGGACAGCATAGAAACAAAATATTCCTAAAAACTGTATCTCATTCTATGTGTGTAATCAGATTTGTAAATGTGCAAAATAATCTGGAAATGTGTACGAGATTTGTGAATGTGTACAGGAATCTGCTAATGCGTGTTCAGAATCCATGGATTTACAAATCTGATGTGCACATGTGCATAATCAGATTTGCAAATGTGTAAAAAAAATCTACAAATGTGCATTCAGAGTTGCAAAATACACTGAGATTTTTAAATCTGTAGACAGATCTGTAAATGCGTATATAGATCTGTAAATGTGTGTGAATCTCTAACATACACGACGTAAACACACAGATTCTGAACGCACATTTTCAGATTCCTGTACACATTCACAAATCTCACTATATATTTACAGATTATTTGTCACATTTACAAATCTGAACTCTCCACTCACACTTGTAAATAGTTTTGCTACAATAAGGGCGCCATGTCCCGACCCTCCTCCTTTTGCTCCTCTCTCCATAAAGGCTACAGACTGTCTGAGTCTGCTCTGTTTACTTTGGTTGTCCAAAATTTTAAGGTCTGGTTTTCTGCTTCATTATTCCTCAGGATCAACAACTAACCATTTAATATATTGATTTTGTCATTGTTTGTATTTTAGGTCCTTCTTTGTCACTCACCTTTAGGATTAGGGTTTCATGTTTGTCTGTAGATAGTGCTGTGAAATGCAGAACCCAAAGAAGTATGAATGATCAGTCACATTGTAGCAAAAATAAATAAAATGACATGTGCAAATTAAGCAGGGATATTGCACAAGGAATAAAGGAGGTTTAACTCCTATCACACTTTAACCTTGGTACTCTAAGTCTACGGTAGAAGGAGGGTTGCAAGTCAGATGACCAGCCAATTCCTATTCAGCAAACGATGCATGAGTTTGGGGGCCCCTGAGTTGCTGTGGGGCTTTAAGGAGCTAGGGAAAAAGATCCAAAATCTTAAGATATGCTGTTCTGCTTCATTATTCCTCAGGATCAACTGATCATAATCATGGTATTAGAATCAAAATTAATTTAATATTAAAAGATTAATTGACAACTGTTTATTTATTGACAACATGTGAAACATATTCCAGTCTCTCTTGGAGAGCATGTGGTCGCTAATGATGTTGTGTCGCCTAGTTGCTTTACCTGCTCCGTGCTTGTAAAATGTTCACTGTGGTCACCGGATAACTTCTCTCTTTTTCTCTGCAAAACCTGACTGAATATATCTCCGCTGTGGAATAAAATAAATGCATCTGCTGATCTGTGTTTATGGAGATTGCCGATCCGATTAATTAGTAAATTGTAAATAGTGATGTGAAATAATTAGTCAACATTTCAATAGTCAATCATATTGCAGTTTTATTGAACAATTCATCATTCACAGATTTTACATGATGAAAATGTGTTTATGTTCTCCAGAGCCTCAGAGAAACAGTGTGATGATGGCTGAGGATACCAGCAGAAGAAAGACACTGGAACCAGTGGGTATGGCACTGTTACACAAGTCCTCTTCACAGCATTTTATCGGACCATGACAGCTGCTACTCAACATGCAGTCCTTGACGGTGGCACCTGAAAAATATAATGGAAAAACCTCAGTGTCACCGACAACAAAAGACAACAGGCATTTAGTACATAAATAATTCCATCTATTTGAAATGCTTAATATTAGTGATAAATTGTTCTGTTGTGGAAAAACAACTTACCATTCGACACGACTGTTGTACAACGCTCCCCGTTGTAACAAGTTTTGGGCTCGTAGAGTTTATTGTCAGCACCACCACCTATGTAGCATTTCAGTCCACATGCTACACAGAAACACAGTCACACATGAGTCACCCACAAAAAAAAACAAAATTCACATGTATAGCATTTCAAGTCCACATTCTATACAGAAATACATTATGGAAAAATTATTATTACAAATTCACGTATCCAGTATCATACAAAACATACATACATTAAACATACATTAAACCTATATTAAAATAAAATTTAAAATTAAAATAAAATTAACTTATTACACAGTAGCCACAGTAAACAGTGCAAATGGAGGTAGAAATTGTCCATTGTCTATTCATGCCTAGGAGCATGTTGTACGTCCTGATGGCAGGGGACGGAAATAACTGTTTTTAAGTCTGTTGGTGCGCTGGAGTTGGACAAGATACAAAACTAAACACTATTTAACTTCTCAGCTACTACCCTATTTTCATTTGCAACATAACTTTGACACACTAATCACAGGTGCTATCGTCCTACTTAATGCTGTTACGTCAAAGCTGAACTCCCATCGCTCACTCGCTCTGCGTCTTTCAGCGCTGTGACCAGCATCCCGCGCCACGACACCGGCCAAGAACCTCCATACCACCTGCATTGCTTAGACAGAGACCACCACAATCACTGAGTAGATGAGAATTACTGCTAGAGAAGAACGATGTG